GCTTTGACTTACCCTGTTTTGTATATTATAAAAATGTCTTCCTGTTTTACAGTCATTCCAATTCCCTTGCCATTTCCAATTGCAAGCTTCTTTAATTATACTTTTCCCCTCCATCCTGCTTAGTGAAACTGAAATAGTAGGAGTATTCAGATTAAGTGACTCTTTAGCCATTTTATCAGCTTTTTCATTTCCTGGTATATCAACATGCGCTGGAACCCAAACAAAATTAACTATTATTCCAGCATTTCTTAATCTATACAATATATTCATTATTTCTATAAAGATATCATTCATATCTAACAGTTTGAAAAGTTTGAAGACTGGTAAGGTAAATCACTACCTTATTTGGCATCACTTCTTTTACCCAACTAAGTGCCATTTGAATTGCCACCATTTCGGCTGTGTATACTGATGTCCCATCCGTTAACCTTCCATATTTTCCGATTTTAAATTCTGGAACATAGAATGCAGATCCAGTACGACCTATTTCTGGGTTTCTTGAGCCATCAGTGTATATTGGCAGAAATGCATAATAAACTGTTCTGATATATTCTGTTGAATGGGTTTTGATATCAATGTCAATCTGTCCTTTTTGAATATATTCATGAATTTGAAAATCAACTTTAGGTTGACTGAAAAACCAAGGAGGTATTGGGGAAATTGTAACTGTTGGTGAAAACGTAATATTATTTGGTGACATTTTTGCAGCCCAATCCTTTACTTCCCATGCAAACCCTGTTCCTGTTAAGTTCATTGTCTCCCAACTCCCCTCTAATATTGATTTTGTAGGATGATCTGAATTATGCCCTTGCAAATTAAGCAACAGATAATTTTTTACGTCTTATTTCTAATGGGGACTCTCCTGTTTCAACTTGCATTGCTGAGATTGGAGTTGTTTTAATTGCACCTGTAATACATCTCAAAGCTCGTGCTTGAATAAGATCTAACTTTTTAAGCATATTGATTGAGGCAGATCCATATATAATACACCCATAATCTAAAACAGATCGTAGAAGTGCACAGTATAAGGTGATCATTGATTGTTTATTTGCCCCCCATAACTGAGGACATCATTGGCCTCGTTGCAGCTGACGGTGATGTGTGTCTTCTTCTTCTTTTGGTTTTATGACGGGTTGCGAACCAACTTCATAGGTGCATACCGCCACCTACTGTGATGGAGTGTGAAGAGAATGTACCATTTCTCACCTAAATCTTAAATTCTGTTCATTATTCCACAATTCTTGAGAAATCTCATGATTGCACTTATTTGTTTTCCTGCATTTGGACCATCATTCAGAATACTACTTAATGAAAATTCTTTAACTCCTAAGGATTGTAATTCATCTTTAAGTCTTTCTCTTCCATATGCTGTACATATCATCATAACGTGTTCCACTGATTCCTCTGTTAAACAAACATCACATAGACCAGTATTATGTTTCCCTATAGTGTATAGTGTTTGGTTAAGATTTGAGTGTCCTGTTCATATACGTGTTAAAATGACTTGTTCCCTTTTACTTATGTTATGAATGATTTTTCTTCTTTTTATACTCCTTTGTACTTTGTGATAATGCCTACCTGTTTGACATGAGTCCCAGTATATCTGCCATACAATATTGCATGCATTTAATATGAACTGTTTCCCTTCTATTCTGCTGAGTGCAATATTTATACTTGGATCATCCATATTTAAGGATTCTTTAGCCATTTTATCTACCTCTTCATTACCTTGAATTCCCACATGTGCAGGTACCCATATAAACCGAGTAATTATCCCTATCTGTTTAATACTATATAGTGTAATCATGATTTCTGTTAAAATGTCTTTTCTATTGGATTGCCATGATTGTAAACTCATAAGAGCTGCCATTGAGTCAGAGCATATTATTACTGTATCCGGTCTTACTTCATATACCCACTCTAATGCCATAAGGATAGCTACCATCTCTGCTGTATATACAGAAGTACCATCTGTAATTCTTCCAGCCTTCCTAACCTGAAATTCTGGAATGAAAAATGCAGCACATGTCCTTCCAGTTTCTATGTTCTTTGATCCATCTGTGTAAATTTGGAGAAATGAATAATGCATACTTTTTTATATATTTGTGATGTGTCTTCTTCTTCTTCTTGTTTTATGGCGAATAACTCTTATTTTCAAATAAAATTACTGTTCACTGAAAAAAAAATATTTGGTCGATGGCATAAATATATAGTGCTTAATAAGCATGTTCCCATGCAATGCAGCTAGTTTAATTCACTTTATTTTTATTATTATTTTTTTTTATTATTATTATTTTTTTAAGTTAACAGTCAATAGTTATTTATGATATGTACAGTATCGTAAATAGATAACCAGGAAGTTAGTTGTTAATAAAAGTTATTTTTCCCCCAAAGGGTAATTTTTATAGGTTGACTAAGGGTAATCTAATACATGATTTCACGTGATCATTTGCATATGTGTGCGTGTGTCTTTGTGAGAAGAAGAAAGTCCATAAATATCCAGTCAAACTGGAAAGACAGGATCAGAAAGGCATGACTGAAAGGGGCACTGGGGAAAATAGTCTGTTTTCAAGTGCTTCTAATGAAGCAGGGCTTTATGTAATTTGTGAGAGTTCCTTCATACTGAGTGTACTAATAGCCAACAATATTTACAATTTTTTTATCTTTTCACGCCCATTTATTGTCATTTGTCACAATTGTTGACGTCCTTTATTTCAACACTTCCGAATATTCAAAACCAATAGCAAGAAAATAAGCCCATGTTTCCTGTCAAGCTAAACAACACATGGTTGTTGTGGAATATTACCTTTAACCTATATCACTCCATGCACCACGTTTAAAATATAATCATTTATTTAGTCAAATGTATTAAAAAAAAAAGGAAATTGGAAAACCATGATATTGTCCACTTAGATAATAATTTAATTAAAATGCCAGTTGCAGATACAAATAGACAGTGTTTTGGATTATTCATTATACAGAGTAGGAATTAATAAAATAGTTTATGTTTATGATGGGGAATAGGCCTACAAATAACAATGTGGTTTTCAAGTATAGGGATCTATAGCTTTTTGAGCCCAGCATGGTAAACAATAGGGGGAAAGAAAGAAGATAGCCTAAACATCAAAATCCACATGACTGTCAAATTTGGGGAGGAAAAACAACAGTATGATGTAATAAAGGGCATAAATCCAGGGGAAATGTTGGTGTTAAGGGTGGAGGACGTGAGGAGGCGGAGTGAGGAAGAACTTAGACAGATTGCTTTGGAATCGCAGAGAGACGTCAGATGCAGTCTATAAAACACCTGTCTTTAGGCTACTTTAAAAACTACTCATAACCCACAGATTAATGATAGACGGACTATTTAAACTAGCTTCTATATTCTAGCACGGCGGATTATAATAAACATGCGTGAAACTCACTGAAAATGAACGATTCATAATGGACAGTTTATACCTGGAGTGCAGTTGACTTGCGAGCTGAAGAAAGTGATTCGACTGCGGAAGAAAAAAAACGTCGAGCGTTTATTTGTAAGTATAAGCTTTTGTTTACTGCTATTAGCATCCTTATTCTGCAAAGAAAAGTTAATGATGTATGGGGAAAAAAAGCAATATATTAATTAAAAGTGAATGAGAGTCTAAACAAAAGGGATGGTTGGTCAAAAGTAACGATTTACCATAGAATTGTTTTTAAGAGCGTCATTTCCGCTTTGGTGTTATTATTATGCTTTAAAAACACTCACCTGGGCCCAGGTATCTAAGTCGTTCTTATCTGCTTTCATGGTTGATTTATAGCACAAGGTGAAACCAACAGTATGTAAGTTTGCTTTCAAAAACTGCATTAAAGACTTTGCTTTGTGTTAGTGTATATAATAATTGCTCTATATTCCAGTATATACGGACTACAATTTTACGCAGTTTTTTTCCTACTGTATCTGAGTATCTGTGGGTAGTTTCAGTTTCAATGTAGGCCTTTTTCATATCTGTTGAAATGACTGTTTTTCATATGACGCTGAAATGAAGTTTTGTAAAATGTTTCCTCTCCTTATTGAAAAATGTATTATTAATGAGGGACCATAGGCCTACTGTTATTTGCTGCTACGAAAAAAATGAATGACAAATATAGTATTTAACATTTTTTCCCCTACACTCATTCTGAATATTAAGTGGGCAGGCAGCATTTTATACACTTAACAAATATCTCAAATAACGTTGATATAATAATTAGTACTGTGCCGTTAATTAGGAAATTAGTATGTAATAATGACCTGCATATTGTTTGTGACTAACTACCAGGTCATAGGTCAACTGCATATGTTTGACACATTTCTAAAGTTAATCGTACATGAAGGACTAAAGTCACGCCTTTTGACAAAACATGACAAACAGAAGCTGCCATTTGGGTGTACACTCATTTATAACTCTTTGTAAAAGTCCACTGTTTTCTGCTTTTAAGACTTTCAAAAGGTTTGAAACGTATTTGATTACAGTAATGCTGTAGAAACTGTTTGATACATCAGTTCACACCCAGTTTCAGAGGAAACTGTATCAAATGTTAACAGAAGCATGGCTTTATCAAACAAGCCAGCTTGAGGAAAGCCAGCCTGAAAGTTGCAACCTGTTAGAGCTGAAAATGACCGGCTCTAAAATCTTTCACTCTCTTCTGGAGATATTTTTTGACTAAAATAAAACATTTGCTCATGCTCCGATTAACAACAATAATCCTGTAGTTATTACAAATGTAAGATCTGGTCTAGAATATACCTAGTCAACTAAACTTTAGAGCCTCGAGTTTCACACAGAGTTTACTTTTTGTCATTCAGGGTGTGGACTTTGGGTGTGTAGTCTTGGAGAATCTTACTTTGATACTCTTAGGTTTCCTGCTCAGACAAGCCCCATAGTTTTAGAGCGGTCTGTTCTGAGGCATACTGGCTGATTATTCACTAAAAGGTCATGTGTCTGAGTTGGTCTTTATGTTGTCATGGTTCTGTAAACACAAGAGTGCAGAGAGTTTCTAGTTGTCTCTTTGAACACATGCTGATAGGAATGGGAGGTTCACGGACTTGTGAAAGCAATGACACAGTGCTTTGCTGGCAAAAAATCTATTCTGTGCTGCACATAACTTCCAAATCTTGCTTTACATACTTGTGTATACAGTATGCAACTGTTAAAAGGGGATTTCCTTGCCAATACAAACAAGTTAGAATACTTCAGAGAGGTATTCAGTGGTCATTCATAGCATAATTGCTTTATGAGTTTAATCGTGCTGAGCAGGTGGTAAATCATTCTCTTTTAATCAAATGCCTGAAGTGGCTGGCCACATACCTCTCTCCTCATTGGCATCTACTGAAAAAAGTGGTTTGTTTGGTTTATAAACTCCCCTGCTTCCTTGAGTTTTAGACTGTTTGTTAGCATATATTAATTTCTGCATTTCTTTTTACCTGTAGTAAAACATTACATGAAACTTATAAACATGTATATATTTTTATGTAGTTGGTAATATATGTGCAGTTGAAAATGATCTCTAACAGTTAAACTGGCAATTAAAAAAAATTAATTATGTGCACCACCCCTGTAACTCTAAACTGAATAAAGTAAAAAAGTAAGTATTTTGAGTACCATGCACTTTAAGAGGGCTTTCTTAACACAGCTCAGGTCTCTTGTTTGTTTAATTTCTCATTGCTTGCAGCAAATTCCCAACATGCATCCATAGCAACCCAGTGAGGCTTCAAATTGTAAGGAAACAGCCATGTAGTGTCTATTCAGAAAAGACACACTAATCTAGGTGTACTCTAGGTAGTTCCTATGGAATCAAAATTAAAAATGACCATATAGGAAAAACAATGAATGTCTCAGATTGCTCAGATTTATTTTACGTTATTTTCTGATCTCATTTCATTGCTCTGTTGGTGTTTCAGAGTTGCTGTGTGACAGTCTAATAATGATGGATCATGACACTCAGTGGCTGTACCAGCTCCTTGCTGGTGTGCAGCTAGAGAGATTCTACCTAAGGATGCGAGATGGACTCAATGTGACACGTATTGAGCACCTGAACTACGTTAAAGAAGCAGATCTTGAACAGATTGGCATTAGTAAACCAGGTTTGTCTAGTAAAGCAGTTTGTTATTTGAAGATCGTTATTTTGTTTGATTTTCTTTGTGTACTTAAAGACTCTACAATGGTGAATATAATCATTTAGTGCTTTCAATATGGTTTGTGTATCAGTGGGTCTTTGTATTTATTGCTGTTTTCTGGTGATTTTTCTCTGTCAATAGGACAGCGACGATTATGGGAAGCCGTCAGATGTTACAAAACCAACATGCCACCACGATCGTGGATGATTAAGGTATTTCACATCATTACATACCCCCTCTTTTTATTCATTCACTTAGCCTACCTGTGATCATCACTGTCTATTTTCTACTAGGCCTTCAATGGTCGCACCCCAGAGGGAAGTGAGCAGTTTAATGGTGTTGGGTCAGGCCAGGGGCCAGAACCAGGGTGTGCACTCCCCTGTCTTATCCAGGACAGTGAACTGATCTTTGGGGACAGGCTAGGCTCAGGTTCCTTTGGGGTAGTTAGGAAAGCAGAATGGCAAACACCGACTGGACGAGTGGTGAGTGCTTTAAACCAAATATAAGTATGTTTTCTTTTTTTCTATCTAGAAGCTTAAACACATAGAAATAAATGCTACACTAACAGTCTTGTTTTCCTATTTTAAGTTACCTGTAGCAGTGAAAACCTTGAGGGGTGGCGCATCCAGATATGGAGAAGTGGTGACCGAATTCCTCCAGGAAGTTACGACCATGCAGTCTCTGGACCACCCCAACATTATACATCTGTATGGTGTTGTCCTTACTCATCCTCTTAAAATGGTAATTTTAACTTTTTATGTAAGATCATATTCTGTATTAATAATCGATTCTTTGGATTTTTTATGCATATAAATGACTTATTCCCTTTTCATATTTATTTTATTGTTCATTGAAGGAGTACACCACTAACGAAAATACTTTTTAAACAAAGCAGAATTAACCGTTGCGTGATCCTCAATGAATCAGTGTTTTTTAGCAAATCTGTTGAATGAATTATTCAATGACTCGCTTATAAAGACTTGTTTAGTTCCTGAATAAATAATGTTTTTGAACAAATCGATTTATTCAGTGATTCACTAATTCACTTATAAAGAAAACTTGTGCAAGTGTAACTTGCAAAAACTGCAAAAGTAACTTGCAGAAAGTTCAAAACAAAAAGCATTTTATATTAGTCTGAAGTATAAGACCTTGGTGCATACAATACATTTGCAATAATTTGAAGTTTTCCTTATTTATTTTTGGAATGAAATAAAACTGTATTAGCATGTTGTTGTTTAAAGATGTACACTACCGTTCAAAAGTTTGGGGTGAGTAAGGTCTTTATTTTAAAATAGATTAATTTTATTCAGCAGGGATGCATTAAATTGATTAAAAGTGACAGTAAAGACACTTATAATGTTACAAAAGACTTCTAATTCAAATAAATACTAAATAAATATTTATTTTTTTTAAAAGTAAAAGTGTTAACTTTCTAACATTTGAACTAAATTGCAATAATATTTCACAATATTACTATTTTACTGTATTTTTAATCACATAAATGCAACTTTGGTGAGTATAAGAGTTAAAAACCTTGGTAAAAATCTTACTGACCCCAAACTTTTGAACAGTAGTGTTGCTGGTTATGTTGTTGCAGTGCTGGTTATGGTAAGATGAATGACATAATTAAACTTCCTTTTTTATTAGGTAACGGAGCTGGCTCCCGTTGGCTCTTTATATGACACTCTGCGTCTACGGCAGGGAGATTATCCTCTTTCACGGCTCTGGCTCTTCAGCACACAGATTACTGCAGGTATGGAGTACCTAGAATCCAGACGCTTCATCCACAGAGACCTCGCTACCCGGAATGTGCTCTTGGCTGCTAGAGAGCTAGTGAAGATCGGAGACTTTGGACTAATGAGAGGCTTGGATCAGGACAGGGACCACTATATCATGACGGCACACAAGCGCATTCCCTTTGCATGGTAAGAAAGCTGGATTAAAGAACCAGAAAGAGCTATTTCAGAATTCTGAATACAATTCCATAAATCAAAGTATAAGTAGAAACAATAATCTTAATGAAGAAAGGTTGTCACTATTACCTGTTTGCTAGGTCAAGGATAGTAATTCCACCCTCTGTCTTGCTTTCTATAGGTGTGCTCCTGAGAGTTTGCGTGTAGGTACTTTCTCTCATGCTTCAGATGTCTGGATGTTTGGTGTCACATTGTGGGAAATGTTCACGTACTGTGAGGAGCCCTGGTTGGGGCTGTCTGGCAGACAGGTATATATGCTGGTTTGATGCAATACAATTGTGAAAAATGCTATGCTCTGTTTATGAACTATAGCTGTAATAAGCTCTATTTCATTTGATGACTAAGTGACATTTTGTGCTTTGTATAGATTTTATATCGTGTTGAGCGGGAAGGCGAGCGGTTGGAAAGGCCTCCAGACTGTCCGCAGGAGTTATATTCTGTGATGCGTAAATGTTGGGCTTGCAGTCCTGCTGAACGACCGACCTTCTCACAGCTCACCACCATGGTAGCAGAGGTCAGTTTTAAAGCTCTGCCTCTTATTAATCTCATTAATATTCACATTGGAGTAATGGCTGCTGAAAACTCAGCTTTGCCAAAGCAAAAATAAATTAAAATTTTCATTGTAATATTTCATAAAATGAGACAAAACCAATAAAACCCATTATAAGCGAGGCATTTGTTGCTTCCAGTGGGGACATAATTAAGGATTATAATGACTCATAATGTCTTTTTACGCGCTGCGTTGCATCGAGCCGCGTAAACATAAAACCATGTCTGCATTTGTGATCGGAGAAATGACAAACAACAAGCACTACTCTACACTTCTCAAAACTCGCATTTGAATCATCAGTGGCAAATTTTTTAAATATGAAATGTACTTGCAGTCTGTGAGTCAGAATAGCCAGCATTGTAGTCTACTCTACCAGGATCAGGAAACCGTCCTCCATAAAATGTGCTGCACACATCTGAATATTTGGGTTGAACTGTTCTGGAACAGTGTTGTAAATACAACTTAACCACTGATATCTAGTCGCGTCCTCTTTTGGAAGGCCAAACAAAGTATTTTCGCTTTCGCAAACAAAACACACAGCGTCTTCACAACATGGTGGCGGCGGTGGCAGCAACAATAAAGTTACGCCTTCTTTCTTTGCGTAAACATTTAGGCGGCGTTATGCAAATCGTCGCACATCGTGACGTAGACATGTGGGAGCGTCTTTAAATGGTGGCGTTTTAGGAGGGCGTGGACCAGTCTTAACTTTTGTAAATAATATATTTTTGGGTTTGAGACTTTAGTCTTTGCAACTTATCTATTCACGAACAGCTTGTAACACTCCAAAGAGAAAGGAAAACTTGAAATCGCATCATATGACCCCTTTAATTGTGTACATGTACTAAAATTAATGAATGATAACATTAAATGTATTTTCTCTCACAGTTCTCTCTTTTTAATATATTTTTCAGGCACAGCCTATGGAGGTTCGTGCAATGAAAGACTTCACAGAACCCAGAAAACTCTCTCTACAGGCGAATGATCTAGTGACTGTAATAGATCATGGGTAAGACAGGGGTTTGAGGGCAATCTATATAAAATAATAAAAAAACTTTTATTTTTCTTTCTTCTAGTTCTCTTTATTTTTGCTTATTTTTTAAATTGACTAACTTATTAAATTTCTATATTGTCTGTTTCCTTACCTTATACCATTGGCATTGTTAAAAGTTGTTAACAGTCCTGCAAATAAATCTTTGTTGACTCTGACTCTGATAAAGGTTGTGGGTAATTGTTAACCCGTCTCCCCTCCCTTTGACTTCGTAGCATTAAATTCATAGCTCAACCTTTAATTTCAATCAATTTAGTGTTTTTTTCATATGCTCACGCAAACCACACTTAAAAATTAAATAACAGATTCAGAATGACTAGGTACAAATGACATTGCCCAGTTTTATGTAAATATAAATGACATTTTATAGAATTAAAATAATTAGCATGTGCAATATGCAATAGCAGATTGAATGCAATATTTAACAATAGACTGAATTTTGGAGCACAAATTAAGAGCACATATATTAAAACTGACCAAGATTTGTCAAAAAAGAAAGGTGCTGTAGATTATCCATCTAAATTTATTTGTAAACTACAAGTAGAGATGCAAAATGGGGCTTTGTGGGGATCCTCAGAAACTATAAAAATAACTTCCCTTTGATATCTGTATTTTTTATGCTCTTCTGTTGTGTTGTAGGCTGGAAATATCTGAGTGGAAGGGCCAAAACCAGAGAACTCTAAGTGTTGGCTGGTTTCCCCCTGCATTGGCTGCCCCCGCTCTCACAGCAGCAGTTCCTGCGTCTGGTCCGACTCTGATCTCTTCTCCTGTTAAAGGTAGTCTACAGCACTCTGGCCATGGAGACACTGACCCAGCACGCAGATGGGGCAACCCAGAACGAATATATGAGTGAGTGACATTTTAATTAAAGATATAAACTAAAAGGTTTGAATTAACTTAAAAGTTGGATGTCACTATAATCTAACCGTTTGTGACTTTTGCCATTTTTTCTTGTGTACTTTTCAGCAAACGTTGGAGGATTCCATTAGCAAGAGAGAAGGAAGGCTCCAATCTCAAGAAAATGGCAGGTTAGAACTTAAAATATACTGTAACAAACTTCACACATTATCATTAGAGTATTATTCAAGGCCTGAATTTACTGTAAAAGAGGTTATTGTCTTGTACACATACACTAAGAGTGTATGTGTTCAAAAGTTAAGAGGTCAGCAAGATTTCTTTGAAAGAAATTGTTCTTTTATTCATAAAGGATGCATTAAATTGATCAAAATTGACTGTAAAGACTTTTACATTGTTACAGAAGATTTCTGTTACAAATAAATGCTGTTTTGAAACTTTCTATACATCAAAGAATCCTGAATCCTAATAGAAACGCTCCAGTTACTAATATAACTTCAGTTCCCTGAGATAAGGGAACGAGAGTTGCGTTATACGCTACGGGGAAACTCCTGTTTACTCTGAATACTGAAGTCTGATTTGTTAACGTTCATGTAGCTGCACGAACAAATGGTGCTTCAGCCCACCAAAAGGGGTAGTGCTGACTGCTATATAAGTCGGTTCCGAGCGCCATTTTGTCCGAATCTTTTGACTAATAGCGGCAGTCATCGACTCGCATGTGCCTTATAGCACAGCAACGTAGTGTTGCCACGGTACCACAATTTCAGTATTCGGTACCAATACCAGTGAAAATCCACGGTTCTCGTTACCAGTTTCGGTATAAAAGCAAAAAAATTTGACTATACTGTCATTTAATCCAAACTGTGTACATATTTAATTTTAAAGGGCTTTTGAAAACCTAGAGTTATTCAGCCAAGAATAACAACTAAGTTAGCTAAAAAAATAAATGAAAAAAAGCCCAGAACTGCTTTTCTGACTGATATGACAAAAACAATGTTAACAATTTGTACATTCTCTAACACACATATTTTAGATTCACAATTCATTTAAACGGCTCTGGTGTGTAAAAACAGTAAATATCATCATGTCCTCCTGTTTTTTTTTTACCCTAATAAAAGTTATAGCAGCATTACATAGTTAATAAAGAAACTTCATTCTAATGCTCATTATATTAGCGTTAGCAACACTTATGATTAACTACTCTAATAACGTTCATTTCAATCCGACATTCAAATTAAAATATTGAATAATATTCATAACAGAAGCGGAGTTTCCCACAGACTTGCACTCTATTTGTGGCAGCACATATATGCAAATTCATTCTCTGCCAGCAGGAGGTACTTGTAAAGCAGGAGAGAGGTTTCCTCAGTAACGGCTGTACACAAGGCAGCGCTCAGCTGAGCTCACAAACGCTGCTCAGGCATTACAGGCAAGATGAAATGAAAATGACATCCATAATTTTCTGAAGACAGTCGGTTTCCTTCAGAAATACAGTGATATAAAAACACCCACACCGGGTTTCGACTTTGACACGTGTAGTGCTCATGTTTATTCAACGAAGTCAATGCCTTTTGGAAAATCTATTTGTGGCGGTCAGTTCTGATATTGTGGCGTGCAGCCACAAATAAATCAATGTATGGGAAACACTGATCTAAATATTAAAATGAAACTTACCTGCTTGAACTCTTTCATTTGATCTGGGTGTCTTTAAAGTGTTTTGTTAGTTTGGTGTGTTTCCTCCTTTTGATGTCGCCACGTCTCAGTGCTTTTATGAAGAGAGCGCATCTGCGCACCTTTCGGATGGCGCATCAAGAACCGGGTTGATTGGGTACTCGGTACCACCGGTACTTAAAAAAAACCTGGTACCGTAACATTTAAATTTTTTTAGTACCGACTTGGTACCGAAGTACCGGGACTTTTGACAACACTTCAGCAACATATGCAACTCGGGAAACCGAGGTTACGTTAGTAAACGGAGCATTCCCTATTGAACGTCTCGCCCAATGCGTTATAAGCTATGGGGAACGTATTAGCAAGTGCAGAAGGAAGCCGCTCTGCCAGCCCAGCCCCGGAGTGCCTGCAATGAGGGCTCCTATAAGCATGAGCCAAGAAAAGGGTAGCGTTTAGCCATCTGAGGGCGCTGTCAGGGCTCAGGCTCTGAATTTGGCCAAGGCTGAGCTGGAGACAACGAGGGCTTCACAGGTTGCTGGGAAGATGGAGCCTTCTGGCTACCTGAACCAGCTGTTGTGCTGCAGCGCTTTGGCAGGAAGTGGCATGTGACCTGCAACGACTTCTGTGCTGCAGTGAAGCGCTTTGCAACTACGCACACGGCGGCGCCGAATTACCCCATAGGCGAGACGGGAGTCAAGGAAGGCGATTTTATCTGCGTCCTTGACCTCCTTCAAATCCAGCCAAAGGTGGCACTCTAGTACCACCATGGCTCCGCCAATTGCCTGTGCAATAGCCTTGGTAGTGCACAGAGACCGGCCAGTTACTGTGCGCAGCTCCTTAAGGGCTGGACTCGTCCAATCCTCTGAGAAGTTTAGCTTGATACACTGAAGCACCACCATTGTGTGAAGCTCTGGGCCAACCTGGTCAGCTGATGAATAAGCCCTGCCTATTAGAGCCGAAATGGACCTGCTGGGCCTGGACGGGTGCACAGCATTGGCTATTAGTCCCAGGGCCAATGGCAGGCAGAGATGTGCAGCGACCACCTCCTCTAGACGGGGACCTTGCCATATCGCCATTTTTTTTTAAGCCATCAACAGAGGTGAGGGCAGCAAAATTAGAAGAGTGGATGCACACAAAGTAGGGGGTGTGCCACACCTAGGTAAATTCATTGTGAACTTCTGGGAAAACCAGCACTGGTTCCTGACGGGTAGAGATGTGCAGCGACCACCTCCTCCCGAGGAGGAGTTTGCCATATCCCCTTTTTTTCAGCACCATCAACAGAGGCGAGGGCGGCAGAATTAGAGGTGGTGCGCCACTCTTTACTTATAGTTTGCTATCCACGCCAGCCTGTGTTAATTCATTGGGGAGAAGGGTGCCAGGATCCTGTCCGGAAGCAGGGTGAAACTCATGCTGTCGCAGTGAGAGCAGTCTCAGCATGCGCGTGGCCCAGGCAAGCAGCGCACTCACTGTGCCCATCTGAAGTGTGCAGGGGGTGACCTGCATGAGCCGCATAAGCGGCATGATATTTGCAACAACGCAGAGGAAATTCTCTTGTAATCGTCGGAAAAGCCGCAGGGGAGAAGGTGCAAAAGGGGAGTGTCTTCCTGCTGCTAGGGCTCTTCTACTTGCTGCTTCTTTTTCTGAGTCAACTGAGGAGATGATCTTTGCACTGAAGGAGAAAATTCTGATGAAATGGTGCTCAGAGCCAACTTAGGTAACATTCGGCCCTACCCCTTTTGGTGGGCAGAAGCGCCATTTGTTCATGCAGATACACAAACGTTAACAAATCAGGCATCTGTTTTCAGAGTAAACAGGAGTTTTCCCAAAGTATATAACACAATGGGAGAGACCGTTCAATAGGGAATCACAATTTCCACAAACAATTTAAGTTGCACAACTGTTTTCAACATAATGATAATAATAAATGTTTCTTGAGCACCAAATCAGCATATTACAATGATTTCTGAAGGATCATGTGATAATCTGTCTAGTCACATTCTGTGTCTTATTTTCAAACCTCAGGCATGTCAAGGAGTCTGGAGTCTGTCCTTGGTGTTCCACAGGACAAAGGTCGAGGTGCTGGTGGGAACCCTCAGAGACCTGACCCACGCAGACTCGTGCAGAGTAATTTATTGCAAGATCCACGCAGGTTTAGTGATGCTATTATCGTCCCACCTTCACGGCCACCACCTCCTAGTTTCAAATGCATCAGCCCACCAAACACCAGCTTCAAATGCGTCAAACCCCAGAAGATGATCCATGATCGGAGACCAGTAAACCCAGCGGGCTGGGCCCCTCAAACTCATTCACAGCTACAGTTCCAGTTCCAGCAACAACAGCAGTGTTTATGGAATAGTAACCTTGCCAGGATGACACATCTGGCCAAATCAAGCCCTCAATTAGATGATGGCCCTGAGAAAGAGAAGGAGCAAGAGAAAGAAAGAGAGCGGGAGAAGGCAAAGGAGAGGTATCCACAAGTTGACAAGGAAGCAGTCATAGCACAAGTATGAAGATTTCTTTACATTCAACAACTTTGCTTTGTCTTATCTTGTGTCTCTCTCTCTATATATGTGAGTATATATCAGATACATTTTTTTAATTAATTGTTTTATTCAGCAAGGACACCTTATGTAACAAACTTATTTCACAATTTGATACATGATACTGATCTCACTATACTTAAACGCTCACTATAATTTAATAAAAAAAAAAATTAGGCCTACTTCTAAGACATGATAAACGGTTAACAAAAAGTACTGTTAATTAAAATGCTATTATTAAATTTGGTATTACATAAAGAATAGCTAAATGAGTTGTATTCCCTAAGGAATACAAATATTCATGATTCAGCTTAGCTAAAAATACAGAATTTTGTTAAATAGCTACAGAAGCCTGCACTCTGTCCCTGACTACATAAATTTAAAACGTTTTAAATATAGTATATTATTAAATAATGTATTTATTTATTTATTATTAATAATAATTAAACATGGAAGCTCAAATGTGTGACCTTCCAAACTTTTATTGTATCACTATCCATGATACTTGTAACATTTTTGTATTGCTATATTGACACAATATATTGATACACCCCTTGAAAATGTATACAAATAAACTGTTCTTTTTAACTTTTTATCAAAGAAAAAATGTCACAGTTTCCACAAAAATATTAAACAGCACAACTGTTTTCAACATTGATAATAATAAGAAATGCTTCTTGAGCACCAAATCAGCATATTAGCATATTTCTGAACGATCATGGGATTCTGAAGGCTGAAGTAATGGCTGCTAAAAATTCAGCGGTGCTATCACAGAAATAAATTACATTTTAAAACCGATTAATATAGAAAACAGTTCATTTAAATTTCAATAATATTTCACAATTCAGTTTTTTGCTGAATTTTGGATAACCTTTTTTTATTTTTATAATATAGGCCTAATTCCTCTTTAATGTTGTTGCTAATATGTTAAATGCTGATTGGTCATTAGGTTCAGGATGCAGTACATGGAGTGACCATTGAGCAGGTTCAGAAATCTCTGTATCGCAATGACTGGAATCCTGTGAGGGCAGAGCAGCAACTTAAGGTAATAGAGAATTAGACCTTGTTCATTCAAAGTAAATCATTTCACTTTATTCATTACTTGTACTTATTCTTTCGTGTTTGCCTTATATCATCAGACAGACCAGCTGTATTACATGACTCGGTACTCTCGTGAGGAATGTCAAAAAATCCTCACCCGCTACAGCTGGGACCTACAGCTGGCAGGACGTTATATCATCCGACAAGACAGAGATAGGACTGCATTGGATAGACGGGGAGAAAGAGTTTAATGCAAGACTTACCATGGTTCATAATTATTGAGGAATTCATGTTTTTTGTGATATCACTGAATTGTCAAGAGGTCAAATAATCCAAGACACACAAAAACCCTGTTTCTATCCATCTCCAATGTGAAACTATCTATAATGACTATCTATAATGTGCTCGATTATTAAACTGGTGATATCAGTTATTTCAAATCTGTTTGGAAAGACAGCACAATCATTCATATTAAATGCAGAATGTCATTTCAGTTGCCATTGTGACTGTTTATTGTTACTTTACACTCTTAAAAATAAAGGTGCTTCAAAAGGTTCTTCAAGCGATGCCACAGAAGAACCATTTTTGGTTCCACAAAGAACCATTCAGTCAAAGGTTCTTTAAAGAACCATCTCTTTCTTACCTTTTTATAATCTGAAGAACCTTCTTTCGCCCCAAAGAACCTTTTGTGAAACAGAAAGGTTCTTCAGATGTTATAGGTTCTTTATGGAACCATTTAGACAAAAGGTTCTTCTTTGGCATCGTGAAGCACCTTTATTTTTAAGAGTGTACTATTGTTTGTATATAAATTAGGTTTGTTTAATTTTAAATGTATTAAATTCAGTGAAACTGTGTAAATGTATATGACGAAATTGTAAATATTTTAGTGCTGTCAAATTGATTAATCACAATTAATTGCATCCAAAATAAAAGTTTGTTTACATAATGTGTGAACTGTGTTATTTATATATGTAATACACCCACATGCATGTACATATTTAAGAAATATATTTAATATATTTCTTGTGTGTATTTATATATACATAGTGCACACACATATGTAAACAAACTTTTATTGTGATGCGATTAATGGCGATTAATCAATTTGACAGCACTAAAATACATATGAAGTATTAGAAATATTTGTAACAGTTCAATAAAGTAACATGCATTTTTATTTGTCTGCTTGTTTTCTGATTTATGTACATTATTAGAATTTAAAACATAACAGGTTATGGAAAATAGCATGCTGAGTATTTTCCATAAAGATACATCTCAGTTTTCACTAGTGTTGTAATAAAAATTTTCCATATTGACTCCAGGTATCAAAGTTAAGGTACAAATAGGTATACAGGTGCATCTCAATAAATTAGAATGTCGTGGAAAAGTTCATTTATTTCAGTAATTCAACTCAAATTGTGAAACTCGTGTATTAAATAAATTCAATGCACACAGACTGAAGTCGTTTAAGTCTTTGGTTCTTTTAATTGTGATGATTTTGGCTCACATTTCACAAAAACCCACTAATTCACTATCTCAACAAATTAGAATATGGTGACATGCCAATCAGCTAATCAACTCAAAACGGCATCTTACAGAGGCGTCTTACCTGGGCTAAGGAGAAGAAGAACTGGACTGTTGCCCAGTGGTCCAAAGTCCTCTTTTCAGATGAGAGCAAGTTTTGTATTTCATTTGGAAACCAAGGTCCTAGAGTCTGGAGGAAGGGTGGAGAAGCTCATAGCCCAAGTTGCTTGAAGTCCAGTGTTAAGTTTCCACAGTCTGTGATGATTTGGGGTGCAATGTCATCTGCTGGTGTTGGTCCATTGTGTTTTTTGAAAACCAACGTCACTGCACCTGTTTACCAAGACATTTTGGAGCACTTCATGCTTCCTTCTGCTGACCAGCTTTTTGTAGATGCTGATTTCATTTTCCAGCAGGATTTGGCACCTGCCCACACTGTCAAAAGCACCAAAAGTTGGTTAAATTACCATGGTGTTGGTGTGCTTGACTGGCCAGCAAACTCACCAGACCTGAACCCTATAGAGAATCTATGGGGTATTGTCAAGAGGAAAATGAGAAACAAGAGACCAAAAAATGTAGATGAGCTGAAGGCCACTGTCAAAGAAACCTGGGCTTCCATACCACCTCAGCAGTGCCACAAACTGATCACCTCCATGCCACGCCGAATTGAGGCAGTAATTAAAGCAAAAGGAGCCCCTACCAAGTATTGAGTACATGTACAGTAAATTAATATACTTTCCAGAAGGCCAACAATTCACTAAAAATTTTTGTTTTATTGGTCTTATGAAGTATTCTAATTTGTAGAGATAGTGAATTGGTGGGTTTTTGTTAAATGTGAGCCAAAATCATCACAATTAAAATAACCAAAGACTTTACTTCAGTCTGTGTGCATTGAATTTATTTAATACACGAGTTTCACAATTTGAGTTGAATTACTGAAATAAATGAACTTTTCCATGACATTCTAATTTATTGAGATGCACCTGTATTCATGGCAAGGACAAAGTGAGACACGTATAAAATGCTTACATATGCATTGAGATGAAAACGTCTTCCGACGTTTTGAAGATCAAGCTGTCATGCAGTTTTTAAGTTAAACCTATGCTTGTAACACAACTTGATATTAAAATAAGATTTCAAATAGTAGAATATTGATTAACAAATTAATGTCCTGTGAAGTTACAACAACTCTAATGGGACTTGAAAATAACCTAAAAGAGGTTGCTGTATGTTTCTGTACCCAAAACAACCACAATGTGTCACAGTAACACAAATGTTTGAGAGAAGGCTTTCAAAGAGTTACAATGTATAGGAGCTACTTAATTCTACTATCAATATTTCTGCTGTATAGTGGGACCACAACTTAAGGAAACATTGCTGTCTTCAAAACTCAACCTGAGGCATTTGAGCAACAAGATGTCGAGCGAACGCTGGATTTCTCTAGGTGCTGTAGCCTATGCCACACTTTCAGGAAAAAGGTTCAAAAGCTGTCACTGTATACCTTTCAAAAGTACCTTATTAACCCCTAAAGGTACCTTTTGAAAAGGTACCGCCCCAGTGACAACCTTTATAGGCTACTTTTTTCTGAGAGTGCAGCATTTCATTCCAAACATGCCATTGTCATAGAAATAAATGTCAAATTCTTTGAGCCAGACCTCAATGACAGGAAACCTGTCTAAGGCTTAAAGGGGTCATAGGATGGCCATTTTCCACAAGTTGATATGATTCTTTGATATGATGATATGAACAGTTACAGTGGTGCTTGAAAGAAGTTTGCGAACCCTTCAGAATTCTCTATATTTCTGCATAAATGTGACACAAAAGATAATCAGATTTTCTTTCAAGTCCTTCTCTTTCAAGAACTTTCAAGTCCTGAAAGTTGACAAAGAGAATCCAATCAAACAAATATATACTATGTCATTTATTTATTGAGAACAATGATCCAGTGTTACATATCTGTCACTGGCAAAAGTATGTGAATCTTTGCTTTCAGTATCTGGTCTGACCCCCTTTTGCAGCAATAAATGCAGCTAAATGATTCTTGTAACTGCTGATCAGTCCTGCACAACGCTTGTAGGAATTTTAGCCCATTCCTTAGTACAGAACCACTTCAACTCTATGATGTTGGTGGGTTTCCTCCTATGAACTGCTTGCTTCAGGTCCTTCTACAACATTTCCTTTGGATTAATGTCCAGACTTTGACTTGACCATTCCAAAACATTAACTTTGTTCTTCATTATCCATTCTTTGGTAGAACGACTTGTGTGCTTGGGGTGGTTGTCTTGCTGCATGACACATTTTCTCTTGAGATTCAGTTCTCGGACAGATGTCCTGACATTTTCCTTTTGCTTGTATAATTCACAATTCATTGTTCCATCAGTTATGGCAGCGGTCCTGGCCCAGATGCAGCAAAACAGGCTCAAACCATGATACTACCACCACCATGTTTTACAGATGGGATAAGGTTCTTATGCTGGAATGCAGTGTTTTCCTTTCTCCAAATATATCACTTCTCATTTAAACCAAAATGTTCTATTTTGGTCTCATCCATTCACAAAACATTTATCCAATAGCCTTCTGGCTTATCCATGATTTTTATCAAACTGTAGATGGGCATCAATGTTCTTTTTGGAGAGCAGTGGCTTTCTCCTTGCAACTCTGCCATGGACACCATGGTTGTTCAGTGTTGTCCTCATGGTGGAATCATGAACATTAACATTAGCCAATGTGAGAAAGGGCCTTAGTTACTTAGAGGTTACCCTAGGGTCCTTTGCAACCTTGCAGACTATTACACGTCTTGCTTTTGGAGTCATCTTTGTTGGTCAATCACTCCTGGGGAGGATAACAATGGTCTTACATTTCCTCCATTTTAATCTGTCTGACTGTGGATTTGTGGAGGCCAAATTCTAGAGAAACTTTAGAGATGTAACCTTTTCCAGTCTGATGAGCAACAACAACCTTTTTTCTGAAGTCCTCAGAGATCTCCTTTGTTCGTGCCATAATTCACTTCTACAAACACGATCAGACTTTGATAGATCCCTGTTCTTTAAATAAAACCGGGCACGCACTGACACCTGATAGTCATACCATCGATTAAAAACACCTCTAATTTCGCCTTCAAATTAACTGCTAATCGAATTCACATACTTTTGCCATTCACAGATATGTAATATTGGATCATTTTCCAGAATAAATAAATGACAGAGTATATATTTTGTCTAATTTGTTTAATTGGATTCTCTGTCAACTTTCAGGAAAGTGTGAAAATCTGATGATCTTTTGGGTCATATTTATGCAGAAATATAGAAAATTCTGAAGGGTTCACAGACTTTCAAGCACCACTGTACACCATTTAACATCTTCAAAGATATGTCTAAGATACACATCAGTAAGGATCAGATATCTGTATTTAGCATTACTGTCAATATATCATGTGGAAGCAGATGGCAATAAAAGGTGAAGCAAAAACAAAAGAATGGTGCATAGCCTAATAAAGAAAGCAAAAGTAAATGCTACAAAAGTGTTGCGTTCTTGTTACTCATTTCATAAAATAAACCGGTTGGCAGGGCCGCATTAAGACTACACTGGGCCCCGGGGCTATGACTTACTGCGGGGCCCCCCATCACAATAGTGATATATATATATATAGGGTACAACGGGGCTAAAGGCCCACCTTAAGAGAAAATGTGCACCTGCTCCTAAAATGCATAAATTGTAGAAAAAATACATACGTAGTATTGAACATTAATGGAGCAACAGATTTTGTGTGAAAATAAATCATTCAAGTTGTTTATTTGGTTTAAAAATCATATAAATGTATGAGGTGGCAAGAGGGGCCTTTTACCCCACACACGGGGTAAAAGGCTCACCAGCATGGGGTAAAAGGCACACAGTATGTATACAAATACTTCAGCTAAAATAAAGCAACAACAACCTTTTTTCTGAAGTCCTCAGAGATCTCCTTTGTTCGTGCCATAATTCACTTCTACAAACACGATCAGACTTTGATAGATCCCTGTTCTTTAAATAAAACCGGGCACGCACTGACAC